AGTGGTGAAAGGTATTACTTGAGTGTTCAGTTCTAATGCAGGATGAATGAAATTGACGTTTAGCTAACAAACAGATTTAGTTCTAGTCTAGATGTCAAAGCCACAAGTAAAAAGAATAAAAATAAAAGCACAAGGTCTTCCTTCACCAACCCAAAGATCCTAAAATTATACACCATCCCATTTACTGTGCCCTTGATTATCTTCAGCCTGAGATAGCTTAATTGTGCACGCCCACTTTTTAGACCCACGAGCCGCCCCTGCCTGAGTGCTTGGTGTTGTAGGCTCTCGAGGCTGGCTGGCCAGGTGACATACGTTACAGGTGGCCCCTCAATTTTACGTTCTGAGTTTCTGAGCGTCTAGCCCTTGCACTGCTTTTTTCCAAGTGTTGTTTCAGTATGGCTAACTTACACTGAACTTTCTCCCTTCCCTGAGCGAGTGCTGTTGTGCCTCTGGCTTCTTCTTATACTCAAACAAGCAATGTGGTGTTATAAAACACCCTGTCACACTCTGTCCTCAGTGTTGGGGGTCACTACAGTCGGAACATGTCCATCTCTGCTCTCCCCACCCCCCTCCCCTCTTCAGGATCCATCCCAGAGTCTGTCTGTCTACAGTCTCCATCATAATCTGGTTGGAGATCCGTCGGAATGTGGTGTGTGTCTCACAATAGGGCCCTGATTGGTGCCCACTGACAGAGTGGAAGCAGCCTGCCTCCTAAATGTTCTAACTTTTGTTGACCTTTGGTCTATAACGCTTACAGTCATAATTGGTTGCTTTTAATTAAGCACAAGTGGGCTATCCCCCAAAAAGTTGTTCTGAGAAAATCGAAGGTAAAGTTTTTGCCCCTTGTTCAGTTTCTATAAAAGACCAAGAGAGTTTTCTCTATAAATAACCAAATATACACACCAATGAAACCAAACTTCTCCTCTTGGTAGGTCAATCAATTCCCACTTTTGGTGTGGGTCAAGATTTCTGGAAACCCCCAACATCTGGGTTAGCCCGCTTGTCCTTAAAAGCGACCAATTTGCCATCTGTCTTTCTTAAGATTTTCTCAGAGCTGGATGTGTGACACAAACTAGCCACTGGCAACGTAATTAACCGCTTTTATTTTTTTCGCCAAGCCCCCTTTTATAACCTGAACGACCCTTACTCCCTTTCTCGAAAAGAGAAATTTTTTTTTAAAAAATCCCAGACTAAAACCAAAAAAAAGCCCCCCTCAAAAGTGCAAAGATCAGACGATACAAACACCAAAACCAAGACAGAAAAGCAATCATTTCGTAAGGACCACTCTCTCTCTCTCTCTCTCTCTCTCTCTCA